AAAATTACTTTAAACAATGGCCAGTGCCATTGAGAGGTTTATTACTTTTGTCTTTTCTCTAGGGAAGGTCATGATGAGCTTTTTGGCTCAGGCTGCTCCTGTGCTAGGGCCTGTCTCTTTGTTCCCTTCATTTGAATGGCATTTGTAGCACCAAGGTCATCTTGAGATTTTAAGCACTGCTACAATTCCAGTACATAATTACTGGATGTAGTTTTGCTGGTGTACTGCTCTACACTTAAGGATTTCTTCAAAGTGTAAATAACCCCTCAGAGAATCAGGGAGTTGTTTAGGTTGGAAAAGACCTCAGATCACTGAGTTCAACTGATAACCCAGCACCGTTGTGTTCACCACGAAGCCATGTTCATGAACGCCACATCCACTGCCTTTTGTGCATTTCTAGGCATGGTGATTACACCACTTCCCTGGGCAGCTTATTCCAGTATCTGACTGCCTTTCAGTGAAAAAATCTTTACTAATGTCCACCTGAACCTCCCCTGGACAACCTTAGGCCATTTCTTCTCGTCCTGTGTCTTGTCCTGGGAGAAGAGGCTGATCCCCACCTCATTACAGCCTCCTGAGGAGTTGTAGGGAGTGATAATGTTCCCCCTGGGCCTCCTTTTGTCCTTACTCTTCATGATAGGCACCAGAGACCCCCTGTTAACTTGCTTGCCCTTTTCAATTCTTCAAGTAATAAAAAGATCAAGAGCTGAAGTGCAGATTTCCAGCAAACTGACTTGGCCAGTTGGGGCTTACAGTGACACACTGGGGATATTGGTGGTGTTGGGACCATGGATGCTGGGGTTCCCTCCCACCTGATTTACTGAAGACTGTACTGAAGTGGCATCATCAAAACCAACTGGTGTGAACCTGGCAGTGCTTCCTTCTGGTACCAACTTCATGGAGAGTGAAGTCTGAGTGACTGCAGGTGTCTTTGGAACTCTGTTCCCCAGTGCTCTGTTAATGTGAACCCAACCTGTTCTGTGTGAGGAGATGCAATCAGGGCAGGTCTGGGTCAGCAGAAAGATGAACCTTTGCAAAAAACATCTCGAGTAAATATAACAGGCACCCTATATAGAACACTAATGACTGTTTTCCTCAGGTTATAACAGGACAAGGCTATAAACAATAGACTTCTTTTTTTTTTTAAAGGGATCAGGCGTTTCTCAAGGCATAAGGAGAAACAATTACATGGTCTCTATGTACCATGTAGGCTGCAGCACAACAGATGCAGGAGGAAGCTTGTATCAAACTGCCAGAGGAGCTGCTGTTATAGCCAAAGTTTGATTCTGTAAACTGCAGGAAGTAAAAAAAACCACAAAAAACAAAACAAAACAAAAAAAACCCAAACAAACAAAAAAAAAACACCAAAAATCCCAATTTTTTTACAGCCATTCATGTTTTGGGAATCTAATTCTGCAGTTTGAAATCTAATAAGCTCTAGTGGTGCAGATACTGCTTCAATGACGTTGTGCAGAAGCCTTGTGTCTTGTGTTTAACGTCTCCTTGCTAGTGACCTGCTTAATCGTTCAAAATAGAGCAGGTCTAAAAACCTCCCTTCCTTGTAGGATTTCATCAGCCGACCTCACTGTAGAACATCCTGCTAGCTCTAAACTTTACAACTGCTGATGTGCCTCCCTCTTTTCCAGATGAGAAAAAATATGTCTAGATTCTCTTCAGGGTATTTTCTTTCCTTGTTCTTGAGCAGATGTGTTAGGTGTCCATGGTGAGGTGAACAGAAAGTCAGTGCAGGTAAAAAGTAGAACAATGAGTGAGGAACAGATCTTTGCCTGATGCAGGTAAGTAAATCTGCAGGATAGGTAAGTCTTTTGCACACTTCTCTAAAGAGAAGGAATTAGTAAAAAGTAAGTATTAGAGAAATCTGCTTGTACATTTGCAGAGGGTGTGTGTGGACAGGTCTCAAACAGCCATTTGTTCTTGGAGTGCTGGTTGGGTGTGGAAAGTTCCCTGTTTTCATTGCCTTCTCCCTCTTAACACCACCATTATTTTGACTGTGTTCCAATCCCACGCATCCATGATTAAACGAGGAAATGAGATGCTTACTCCCAGCAAGCATATGAGGGTAGGATTATTCCTCCTACTTACTGTGTAGAAGGCAAATGTGTTGCAGCTGAATCACTCTTTGTGGGCACCATCAGGATCTCTGAAAAAGTATGGCTCTACTTTATGCCAAGATATGGCAGCAGTGGAGAAAGTTGCACCATCATTTTCTTACCTCTTAGCTTTCACTGTCGAAAGTAGATCTGACTTTTTTTCCTCAGAGCAATTTTAGTTCCTTCAGAGCCAGTGCTATGGTTGCCAGTGCCTTACATGCAGAGGAGACAGCCAGCTGCTTGCCTTCTGCTCTTGATAGCGTGTGAAGGGCTCTTGAAGGGGCCCTAGACATCATTGCAGGAGATGGATTGTACAGAAGTTGGGATCTCTCACTCCTGTCCCTCTGGAGCAGAGCAGCAATGAGGGCTTCTGCGGAATTCACCGTGCTGCAGGAGCTTGTGACTGTGGGGGAAAGCTGCCATGAAGCAATCCCCGTCTTGCATTGTCTCTTAGTTGTGTTTTGTGCTAAAAAAAGAGCAAGCCAGGTAGTTAATTTAAAGACAAGATGCCCAACCCCTCAACATGCACTTGATAGCCAAAGTCATAATCTGACACAGCAACATGATCTGCACTGATTCTTCATCACAGTTCTGGACCCTTCTCACCTGGATGGTCATTCAAGTGCCTGTGCCCCTCCCACATTCTATTCTTTAAACTTTTAGATTGGTGCTTGTTCTTTCTAGTGTGTCAGCTACCAGTCTGCTCCTGTTTGAAGCAGTTGCTTGGGCAGTGGCACCAGCTGGAATCCTAAGTGCATTTGTTATTTGTCCCAGAAGGCTTGACTTCCAGAAACACTCTTGCATGGGACCAGCAGGGCCTGGGAGAAAATGGGCATTGTTATCAATGTAATCTGAATGCTTGCATATAGCATTTTTTATTACTCTATTGTAGTGATAAAAGCCCCATTTGGCTCTAAGGTTTGTTCATCAGACCATTTCACATAATGTTTGCTTTTCTGTATGGACAAAACATCCCCATCACAAACAATATACTGCTTCTTAATACCCAGACAATAAACAAAATGCTTGCTCCAAAACTGTGTTTGGTTGATTATGATGTTTGCTATTGTTAGTAGTCTCATAAATCTGATCTCTTAATGGGATCACTACATATTTTTTAGATGGGTCCCTAGACTATATCTACTTCTAATCACACACAGCAAGAGTTCAGAGCCTGATGCTGAGATCCAGTTTTCCATAATATACTCAGACTTGCCCCCAGCTCAGGGTGAATGTATGGCTGTGAATACTAAATGAGACAAAAATAATCTGGGATCTTTCTTTTTGGAATAAAATCAGTCTGTTGGTTTCAGAATCTACACTGGCTTCCTAAAGCCACAGTTCTTTATTAATTTTTCACACTTTATTTTTGACTGTATGGATTCTTTCATGTGGAACAAGATTGACAGGGAGTGAAAAGATTCATGAGGGGAAGACAGAAAGTCATCTCTGTGAATGGAATGTCCAGAGCAGCAGGAATGTTGGATAACTTTAGTCATAATGATAGCTGAAGCCTAGTGAATCAGAAATAGTGCTACACAATCCCAAAACTGCTCTTCTTCTACAGCGGGTGAAATGGTATTGGTCAGGTTAGAGGAAAAAATGAAGTAAAGTTTATTAAAATAAACAGAAGTAAATTTTTTCTTGCTTCTCCCTTCCCCCTCATCTTGTGATTTCACCTGTTCTTATGTTGTTCCTTGCTTGTTATTACTTCCCAGACAAGGGTGAATATTTCTGTGTGTTTTGGGTTCTGCTTGATGCCCAAGCCTGCCCTTGACACCTTCATACCCAAGTAGTTCTCTTAGAATGATTTTCATAAAGTTTTCAATTTGAAAACAGTCATTGGAAGGAAGTTGCAGAAGCTGTTCTTTCCTTGCAGATATGTCTCTGGGGTTGTTACCTTCTTTAATACTCCAGGAACCAGACTGTCCTGGTTGCTACAGTATTTTCTGGAGACAACTTTTTCTGTTTCCTCCCAAATGTATGGGTTTGTCTCTGTACGTAGGTAAAGGCAGCAAATAGTACAACAATATGTCATTTATGAGTAGAAGTGTATGTGCTGGCACCAGTTTGTTCCTTGGAAGTCAGTCGGCAGTAAGTTAGGCCTGTATAAAAAAGAAGGTTTGGGTCCCACTGTGTTTAAAGTATCAAGAGCTGCAGCAACTGGAAACACTGCATCTTCTTACTTATAATCTTTTTTGTGAGATTATATTTAATATTTCTTTAACAGTACAATAAACATAAGCACACTTAAGAACTAAAGCTCCTATTCTTGTGCCTTTAAAAAAAATGTTGATTTCAAGGGTTGTGAGGCTCAAAACTGCTCCTTATCACTGCTATGGCATGTTATTCGTATTTTGAACCATTGCTTGATAAAGTTCTGAGGCGTGTGCACCTGTTTGTACCCTGAGCTTCTCTCTTCAGATGTTTTAAGGTAAAGGTATGAAAAGTAGGTTTATTGCCATATCCCATTAGCATGTCACAGATGTATAGATAACAAGAAGAAAAAGACATGAGAATCTGAACACATTTCCGATTTGGGTGCTGGGTTTGGCATCCTTCTAGTGGATGAGCAGTTTAAGGACTTTAATGGCACACCAGACAGCAAGAGCATCTCATAGAAAATAATTAAACCTCTGCCCAAGTCTGAGTACTACAAGCAGCCCAAAGGGCACTGCCAGGTTCTTGCCCTCTACTAATACATAGTTAATGTTTTAGAGAATGAAATCTGCCATATTTCAAGTTTACCAGGCGGAGAAAACCTACAGGTTCTGCTCTATGAAAAAATGGCTTAGGACTGAGTATGTGACTGCTTAAAATACCAGGAAACTGGGAGACCATTCATTCTTTCATTTTTCTCTGTTACTCTATCTACTTGCTTGCTTGTAGGTGTGTGGAAGCCTTTTATATTTACTTCAGTGCTGAAAGAGTTGAAGAGCCCTATGTCAGCATCACAAAGAAGAGGCAGATGCCCAAGGATGGGTACTCAGAAGAAATTGAGAAGGAAGTGGGACAGGCTGAAGGCAAGCTGCGCACACACAGATCTGCATTCAGCAGGGCCTCTGTGATCCAGGCGTTCCTCGGCTCAGCGCCCCAGCTCACGCTCCAGCTCTACATCTGTATCCTGCAGCAGGAGGTCACGGTTGCCAGAAGTAGGTAGAGCTGTTATTATGACCCTTTTGGTGTTTGGGTGGGAGGGCAGTCAGTTATAGCTGCCCTGCACAAAAACCAAGCATTCTGCAATGGGTTTCATCTCCCTGATAGCTTTTAGTAGTGATGTTGCTTTCAAGTTTATATCGTTGTGTTTTAGACTATGAGACCTTCTGTAGCACACTTGGGTTGCTGTAAAAACATTGATTTGATAAAGTGACAATTACGGTATGAGAAGGAGACAGCTGGAGGAACTGACCTGTCTTCATGAAGAAGGAAAAAAAAATACCTCTGTTCCATTTTGGTTTTTGAGCAAAACTTTCTGAAAAATTCCTTGGGGTACACTGCATAGCATGTTTTGTCATGCTGCCTTAGGGAAGGTGTACTTTCAGGAATGCAGTTTTAAATGTAAACTGAGACCATGAACTGTCTTTACTTGACCCAGACTCTGATTCTGGAATCAAAAGGCAGGACTCAGTAAGCTGCTATGCAACTGTGGTCATCTCATCTCTGGACCCAAGCTGTTAAGCCTTCACCAAGCAGTGCTGCACAACATCAGGACTTACCAGGACACATCTCTCTTACTGTGGGACTCTGCATCTTGCTTCCATGATATGCTCTTGATTTTCTGTCTCACTGCTAAATGGAGAACCATCTCCAGCTGGTCAAACAGCTTTTCAATATAAGGAAGGACTTGGCACCTCTGTGAACTTGATAGTGCATTTCCACTGAAATGCTAAATAGCTCTTGTATCTCTAAGGTCCTGAGAGGATCTATACCAGCTTTACAGCTAGGGAGGCTGAGGTGGCAAGTCAATGATTGAAATAAAGTAAAATACTATATCATAATACTCATAATAATAATCATAATGATAATAATAGTAGTAGTAATGAAGGGGATAGAGAGGGGTGGAGGGAGAGAGAGGGAGAAGAATAAAGCCCAAGAAAGACAAGTGATGCACAAACGACCCCCCATCACCAATCAGCCCCTCCCAGACAACTACCCCCAGTTAATACACTGAGCATGATACCAATGGTTTGGAATATCCCTCTGGATAGTTTGGATCATCTGTTCTGGCTGTGCTTCTTCACAGCTTCTTGTGTACTTCTTCACTGGCAGAGCATGGGAAACTGAAAAGTCCTTGACTTAAAGCACTGCTGAGCAACAACTAAAACAGTGTATTATCAACATTATTCTCATACTGAACCCAAACTCAGCACTATATCAACTACTAGGAAAAAAAAATTAACTCTCCCCCAGCCAAAACCAGAACATCATAGCAGTAGTTTCTTGTAAGACATTACTCCTTCCACTTCCTGAGTTTGACATTACTCCTTCCAGTTCCTGCGTTCTTCATAACTAGGGTAGGTGCTTCAAATAACCATGGCATTTCTGATGTGGGAGAGAGACAACGTGATTGAATCCTTTGCTAAATGGTGCAACTAGAAAAATCTCCATTCACTTTGCTGTAGATAGCATTTTTTTCAAAAAGGTCACCTTTTTATTGTCTTTCATTACTTTTGACCTTACTGGTCATGATTTTCAAAGAGAACTCCTCTGTTCCAGATGATCAGAGAATTGCATATTTAATAATCATTTGTAATGCTCAATTGCTTCCATCTTTTTCAGTCACTGCTGAGATAAGTTGTAATCACAAACTGGTAAGTGACATTCCTTGGGTGAAATGGCCAGAGATAAGCTGTCTCACCAGAGAGTTTGGTGAACCCACTTGCAAATGCAGCAGTTATTGCATGCTTCCCAGGAGCATCCCTATACAGCTGTATTTCTAAAATACAGAAATGCAAAGGAAAAAAAAGAAGTGTTAGGAACTGTGTCAATGTCTATTAGAGCTCATTTATCAGAAAAACAAGAGTCCTAACCATATTCCTGTTGTATGTCTTAGCTGCTGATATGCTGAAGCTTTCTGCAGTCTCTTTATTCAGCCAGCCCAGTTCTCATTCCACACTTCAGATGTCTTCAGCCTCCCTGTTCTTTGACACTGGTCTTCCAAATTTCAGGCTCTCTTCAATTTGCATCTGTTTTAATTATCACTTTCTTGTATCTTGATTTCCACATGTTTTGTCTTGTCTCATCATCAGTCTGTTATTTTTCTGGATTCCTACATACCCTGTCATTCTTTGTGACTTCTGTTTGTTCAGGGGTAATGAAGTCAGTATCAGAACCTGAAGCTGTTTACCATCATGCTGGGGGCATGGCTTGTCCCTTTCAAATCAGTTTGAAATCCTTATTGCTTCCAGTGTTGGCTTGAACACTTTTGAAAAGAGCATGCATCCTTGCCTGACCCTTTGTCAGCCAGAGCCATGCTGCATATTTCTTGTGTATTTCATGGCATTCATTAATTTCTCTGGATGTTTTCTTCTGGATTATTGGGGACTTGCCAGTGTCTGGCATTCTTCAAAACTGTCATTTCACAGTCTGCCAAGAATATAAGATCAAGACAACCAAAAGTAGGACCAACTCTTGGGGTTAGTGATGAGTGACATAAAACTTTGGTGACTGTTAATCACGAAAAGTCTGAAAATGTTGGATGTAATACAACATTGGAAACTTACATATATTAGCCTGATCTGAGTCCTAGTTCTGTTTTGTATACATATAGCTATAGTATCTATAGTAGATTTCAGTGGTACTTATGAGTTAGTTCATCTAGAGCAGAATTCGCTGTCTTAGCAGTTTCTGAAGTGGAAGGACCAGGTCTTGAAAGGACTTCAGATGTAATAACGAAACACAACAAAGTAAATCAGTGCCTCCCTGGATGACTCTGTGAGTGTCCACCTCTGATTTGTAACAAAAAGACAGCCTTTTGGGAGGAGGAAGAAGAGAAATGCCACCTTTATAAGGACTGTTAGAGGATTTGGAACTGTTCCAGGGAAGATATTTTGCCTTTTAAATTTACGTTTCTTTGCCTGCTCAGGATGAGTAACAGTGTCACCCTCACAGATTTTCCTTTGCGGTTGCTTCAAACCATCTTTCTCACAGAGTTCAAAATTATGTTTGAACTGAAGGTTTTGTGACAATAATGAGCTTTTAGGAAAGGAGTAGGACTGGACTAGTGTATTAAACCAGAGTCAGCATGACCTCTTTTCTATCAATGGACAAATGCCTCTTTTGAAGGTTTGAGTTTGTAAGATAGGTGTGAGATTAATATAGATCCCCTAAAGTGATATTGGGGAATAAGATCAATGTTTCAGGTTGTCAAAGCAGAAAGCAAACAGAGTTCCAGCACAGCAGCACTCAGTCCCCTCAGTGGGTATTGTCTCTGTTCCTTTGCCTCTGAGAATATTATTTTGCTTCATTAGCTGTTGGAATTGATGTTCTTCCACAGCTCAAAACTACAGGAAAGATTCTATAAAAAGCCATAGGACATCAAGCAATAGTCTTGACTGAACTCACCAGCTCCATGTACCTTTTTGCATATAGGTTTATTGTCACAGGCTTATTTTAAGTCATTATTGGAGATATTACTCAGTGCTGTAAGAAAGATGTTTAAAAACTACTGACTACCTGCTAACAATTTCGACATAAACATTTTCAGAGAATATATGCACCACCAAACTGGCATGTACAAAATTACCATATAAAACGGTAAATGCTTTTTGCCTTATTGAGTGCCTTAGAAAATTACATATAAAGACTTAATTATTTTCCAAAGTAATTCAGAGATTTTTGTGACTCATAATGGAAAAGAGATTAGCTGAAATGATAGAGAAAATTATCTTAGAAAGTTGTTAGAGATCTTAAAATACACTTTTTTTTTTACAAAGGATTACTTAAACTTTAGTGACGTATAATTAGGGAAAAAGCCCAAACCCTGATCACTTTGGCCATATAGCTATAGCAAAACAGGGAATCCAGTTTATTTGTAGGATATTGGCACACAAACTAATGGAAGGCTGCAGGAAACACGGGTTGCTAAGCAATGCTAATGTAACTGACATAATTAAGGATTCCCAACTCTGATTATTTTATCTGATGCAATATCAGCTATTCAGCCTGTTGGTAAAAATGATGAATAAATATTTATATAATTGTGTATGCAAATACTAAAAAACCTGTGGGCAGTTAGCACTTTGTTTATTATCTGTATATTCTTGTGCATTTGTACCTTCTTAATATGGCAAGACAGGATGCCCTCCTGCAGTGCCAAGTAGCATCTGGTCTCTGCTTTCATTTTTCTGCAGAACTGAAATGTGAAACCTTCCTTTCAGGGCTTCTGGATAGGTGGGAGGTGCTGAAAATTTATCTGAATGTAAAGGCATTTTTAGTAATGCTTTTTTTTAAATGCATGATACAGATGGGTGTATAAAGAAAATTGATGTATAGGAAAACACAGTGCAGGCAGGTGAATAAATATGTCTTCACACATGTCAGAGACAATGCGGACAGTGCTGGGTTTAAATTCGTTCAGCTTTCAGTTTTGAGCTGTATCACATACTTTTTTTGTGATTTACTTCGACACAGAACTTCACAAACACCGAGTTATCTGCATGTCCAAGTTACTCCAAAGTTTCAGCTTCTGTTTTGCAGTGTGTCATCTGTATGGGAAGGGAGTAGCCTCCCTGTGCCTTGTGGAGTTGTCTTGGTTTGAAAGACAGGTGTTTGCTAAGAAAGGCAGGAGCCTCTCTTGAAATGGACAATGTAAACTCCTTCCCTCCAAATTATTACAATTTTGAAATTAAGGAGCACTTAGGCAAAGATACGGGAAATAGGAATAACAGTTTTTTACTAGGAAAGAATTAAAATAAAAATACAGTAATGCAAAAAAAACCAAACCCCAAAACACTGACAGAGTCAGAATACAACCTGACACCCTGTCAGTCAGGGTGTTGGTAGCAGTCCCATTAAATGGTGGCTGCATCCTCCTGCAGTGACAGATGTGGTTCTGTTGAAACAGTGGTGCTGTAGAAGGGTGCAGTTTTCCTCCAAAGGTCCACTGATGATGTGGAAAGGTTGGGTTTTCCTCAGGAATCCAGTGGAATAAGGCTGCTTTGATGTTCCAAATCTCAGATTTTACCTAGATAGGAAATACTTGGCTCCTCCCCCTGGCTGGAGCATCTCAGCATGGGATGATATAATTTTATCAGTCATACAGTGGGACTCAATGGCCCATTAACAGAAGATATCTTCCTGGAGGAAGGATGGGTGGTGGAAAATATGAAGAGCACTACTCTACCTGTTTTTAACAGATGGTCCATTAACAGAAGATAATCCCCTCCGGAGATAAACCAGGCCCCACCTGGTTTCAACAGACGGTGATAGAATACATACTTTTGGTTCCATCCTGCTTTGCAAGCCAAGGCAGGAGTACTGTAGGCGTTTGGGAGCAAGTTGGATACTCTTATGACTGAGCTGTGAAATTACAAAGGACACCCTGTGTGTGAACTGCCCTTGGCAGGAGGAGGAGGGAGAGACACTTATGACTGCTAAGCGCCTTCTTTTTCTTGCTAGCTACTTGAATAAGTATCAAATGGGGACCTAAACAGGAGGTAGGATTAGAGTAATATGCTGAGTTTGACTGGGATAGAGTTGATTTTCTTCACGCAAGTATAGGCTGGGAATGTCTGTCCTGTCTTCCTGCTGGGAATCCCCAGGAGTACAGTGATGATGACTGCACCTGCACTTCCCTGATGCCGTGTCTGCTGCTAAGCTGAAGGTCTTGATTTGTCTTTTCTCTTTGTAGGTATTTTTATGGTGCTGTCTCTCCTGTCGATTGTTTATGGCGCCTTACGCTGCAACATCCTGGCGATAAAGATAAAGTACGATGATTACGATGTCCGTGTGAAGCCTGCTGCCTACCTCTGCATATTCATGTGGAGGAGCTTTGAGATCGCCACGCGGGTCACGGTGTTGGTGCTTTTTGGTTCAGTCCTTCGAGTCTGGGTTTTCCTTGTCGTGCTACTGAATTTCTTATGTTTCTTCTTCTACCCATGGATTCACTTCTGGCTTAGCAGGTCACCATTTCCTGAGAACATAGAGAAGGAATTGAGCAGGCTGGGCACTACCATTGTCCTGTGCCTTCTCACATTCCTGTATGCTGGCATTAACATGTTCTGCTGGTCGGCAGCACAGGTGGAGCTCAGTGACCCTGACTTGATTAGCAAATCCCAGAACTGGTACCAGATGACCGTGTACTACATCGTGCGGCTGATGGAGAACGCCTTCCTCCTGCTGATGTGGTACATTTATAGAACAGACTTCTACCTGTATGTCTGTGCCCCAACGTTGTTCCTGCAGCTCCTGATAGGTTATTGCATGGGCATCTTCTTCATGTTGGTGTTCTACCAGTTCTGTCACCCATGCAAAAAGCTCTTCTCCTCCAGCATAACTGAAGCCTTGTTGTCCTGTTTCAACATCCTCTACTTTATTTGCCAGCATCACAAGTCTACTCTCCTGAAAGGCAAAGTGGCAATGAAATCTCCTGAAAATACTGGCGAAGCACGGGGCAGTAGCAAGACAATAGATCAAAACAGGAGTGTTCATCAAAGTGCTTCTTCCAATGCCTAGTACAACTGGAGGAAAGTAGGTGCCTTTGGAAGGTGGCAGATAACCTGCTGGGAACATTGTGTATCTTAGACATTGTGTCTTGTGGGTAGGATTTCTTTCTTGCAGGTGCAGCACTGCATGATGGCTGACATGCCTGTTTCTGTGGAGAACAGTATATGACTATTTGTGTCTGTGTGTGTTTGTGAATGGAGAGCAATCGTTTGTAGGTTTCTATTTCAGAGGCTTTTTGCACATATTTCAGAGCCTCTCTTGTCACATGCTTATTTTAAGTCATTATAGAAGACATCAATTAGAAATTGTCCTGATGCTCATCTTACTCAGGAAGTCTGAGCATGGAAGGCAATGAATTTTATTTCAGATAGGATGGCCCATGGAATGCCACCCTAGCATGGAAACACAACTTAGACCTGGACTATGTATGGACTGTAGGTGTCGTCTGCTTTGATCAAATTGTAGACTATTTTACACTCTAATCAGTGTAATAAGATAATCCTTCTCTCAGAGGTAGAAGAATTGGACTTGCACAATACACTGTAGTCTGGGTTACCATGAAACAGCCAATTATCCAGCACTGACATGGAAATGTGACTGTTACTGATGACGGACAGAGGGGTTATTGGCTTTGCACTGTTTCACCCTTCATGTTTACGGCTTGTTAGTAAGGGAATTAAATTTAACACATTAATTGTGATGTTCTGGAATACCTCAGTTTTCTTTCATTATCATTTCTTTAACACTTTGCAATATTCTTGTGTCAGGATGGTGTTCACTTTATGTAAATATCTAGAGGCTGGGCAGACAGTGTGTGCCAGTCATGTAGGTGCTCTCCAGTGCACATCTCTGAGGAGTGACTCACCTCACCTCAAAATGTAGGTAATCTGAATCACTCTCTGGAGACCTGTTGCTCAGTGTTAACCAGATGCCTTCACAATTAGTTCTGACTATCCACCTTCCTTTTAGATGGCTGAAGTTAGGGAGATGAGCACTACCCTGGTTGTCAGGGGCTTGGTAGTGCATCAAGAAGGCAGCTCATTGACTTTTTGTACTGGGATAGAAGACACTGATTCCTTCTTTTTGAGCTGTGGTTTGTTAAGATTAGTTTCACATCATTAATTCAAAACCCTCTGACTTCTTTACCTCAGAAGTATGACAACCCTGAAGTATGAAAGAGAAAATGGAAGTAATTGACTTTTTCTTCACAGCCATACATCACCATATAATAAAAGTGTTTCAGTATTTTACAAGTTTCTGAGAAAGCTTTAGCAGATGAACAGCCAAGAATGTAGTGAAATTACACAAACTCATATGTATTTTCACAAATTAAGTGAAAGCTTTTTGCACTTTGTTTGCTTAGCACCTTCCTAACATTTATTTTCCATGTTACACATTATAGCTGCTCATGGAAACAAATAATTGATGACCCAAAGCATCTCCCAGTGTCCAAAGCTTAGCTTCCATTCTGTCATCATGCAGGATGTGAAGCTTTTAATAGGGATGGTATCGTCATAATTGTTTTAGAAGTGTCTAAAACTCAGGTCTGGGGTCATTTATAATGAAATATGTCACCTGCAGTGCTGCAAAGACATAACCTGCTTTTATTTTTTTGTTTACTACAGTGTAAATGAATGTCTTTATATTTCAGTTTTATTATAGAGTCATGTTTTCATTTTATTTAATATGTGTCTGTGTATGGTATGTGTATTTAGATGTCATTAAATTATTGGTGGGTGGTAATGGGATTTTTGGCCTGATTTTGCCATGGGAATGTACCTCATATCTAGGGAAGACACCAAACACCTCAATTCCAATTTCTCTGAGGAGAACAGAAAGTGAAGTGACTCCTTGAAGACACGACTATGTTTCTTTTTACCTTTGTATGTAAAAGTACAGTATAGTATTTCTCTGTACTTTTCTAGATGTAAAAGAATATTGCTTTTTCAGTAGTGAGTTAAAGAAGGAAGGGAGAATGTAACCCTTTCTTCCAAACCTATAGAGTTCAGCCCACAGGCTCAAATTTTCTGATGTTATTAGCCAAAACTGAGTATCTGTCTTTGTAGCTGGGCACTCATCAATATCAATAATCAGGGAATTACAGTGGCTGCCTGTGTAGAGATGTACCCAGCTTTGAAATGTTAGTCTTTGGGGGAAAATTTAAAAAGTAACTTCATATGTAGAAGTAGTTAATATCTACAGATAGAGCTTAAAGCAGAGTTTGGACACTGTAAGTGGTGGTGCAGTTGTGATTGTGCCATTTGGAAACAGTGGAAGCTTCACAAACCTCAGCCAAGTTGGTGCTACAGTGAAATGTTGGTGCTGCATGAAGTAAAAATGTAAGAGACATACAGAGCCAGGAGTCTAGGATGAATACACAGTGAGTACCATTAAACCTCACAGACTACTGTATATGCATATTTAGAGTATGTGCCATATAACTTCTTATTTTTATACCAGTCTCCTGAAGTGCATGCATAGGGAGCTGAATATTTAAATTACTGTAATGAGAGAGAGAAAAAAGTAATTTATATGGGTTCTGTTACTGTCCTATGGTTTTGCCTTAGTTGTGCAGAATAACCAAATACAGTTCAAGCACTCCACCAGCACGAGGGGCTGTTGCCTGAGCAGTGCCTGGTGTCACCATGGCCCGGGGTGGAGCCCAGCCTGCAGTGTGGCTGCTCTGAGGGGTTTATCCAGCTGTGCTGCCACTGCTGGTACAAAGGTGCAGGAGGGAGTCATAGAGACAATGATGTGTGTTAGAACTGAATTCTAAGGGAGCAGCTGATTTTTCTGTAAAGCTGGGAGAGGCAGTTTTTCTCCAGGCAATGACAGTCCAGAGGGTGTTATAAGTACACCCTATAGAGAGGACGGTATGAGTACAAAGTCTGTCTGTGTATGAATGTGTGATCTCTTGCTGCGAGTTCACTGTGCTTTTACTCTCCTCTGTGAATGTTAGAGGGGCCTGTGTGTTCCATGGAAGGGTTTAGGGCTACTGCTGAAAACGATACTCTTTTGAGTAGCCTTGAGTCACACAAAGGATGGCTCAGCAAGGGTTATTTGTGTGTATAAGAGTATACAAGATCTGACACATGGGTTTTCTTTCATACTTGTAAAACAACACAAATTAAATCATTGAAACTATCCCTCAAGTTGTGTTCGTATCAGTTCTTACTGTGCTACTTTCAAGAAATGCAAAGTAAAGGTAACAGAGCATGCTGTCATCTGTCACCACGCAGCAGCAGAAATGTTTTCAAGAAGACCTGACAGAATAATTAATCTGTGATTGATCTAGGAGCTCTTTACCCCCACAATTCCATTGCAGTTTAGCAGAATATTGTAAGAGGGGGACAGATTAAGAGACCAGTGTTATATGGAACAAGATTTGTATCAGTTATTCATTGTTAGTGTGAGAATATTTACTGATTTACCTGGAGAATTGGGAGGATATCGTTAGCTTGGAAAGAATATTTTAACTTCTTTCTTCTTTTCTGCACACTTGTTTCACACTCGTCTGGATTTACCATATACTTATATCTGACCCTGGAATCTGGCAAAATCAGTGCTGAGGACTTTTATGGAGGGGTAGAAATGCACAAAAACTTTACAATACATGTAAGTGTTTCTAAATTTGAATAGAATAAATAGACAAATTTTTAAAATATGGGTTTAAATGGATACATTGCAACAAGTTGTAATGTGTGTGCATCACTTACACGAGCATTGCAAAAAGATTTTAGAAGTCCTTGTGGTGATTGACACTCCTGTCTTCTAGTAGGAGATGCACTCCCTATAACATAGAATTGGTGGATACTTGGGACTGCTAAACTGTAATTTTAATTTAATTTTTTTTCATTTATAAGTAGTTCCTTTATTTTTTCTCCATTTTAGCTGATAGTACCTAACCTAAAAGAATGAACCATTTTCTATCACTTTTTACCTATTTGAATGCCTTATGTAGCAAAGAAAACAGAATTTGAACTCAGATGTTTGCAAGCCAGACATCATAGTACTTATAATCTTGTATTTTAAAATGAGGTTATGGTGAGTGCCTCAACTCACTCGGGAATCATCACAGAAACATTAACATCCAGTAATATGGCAAAGATGGTAAATTTGATTTACCAGAGACAGAAGACTTGAAAAGTAAGATGTATTAAAGATTATGTAATTTCCTACTGACCAAGAAAAAAAATGTATAATAAAACTGTTAGGTCTTGGGGTCACCCCAAAATTTGAGTAAGAATGTAAGGTAAGTGTTTCAAACTGTGAAAACTCTGTAAGTGTTCAAAATATGAAAGCTTACTGAATGTCTGCCCTAAATGAACAACTTCATATCCTGGGGAAAAAAGGACTTTTCTCTCTTTTCTTTTTTTTTTTTTTTTTTTAATTACATGCAGTTACAAGGAAAACCTCTTGCTGCTGGAATAAAGTTTTATGGAAATGATGAATGTCTGTATTCAGGTATGAAAATTTTGCCTTTCAGGTGGGAAATTCAGATGTGAATGCATCTGTGTGTAAAGGCTTCTAATAACAGACTAGCATTAATAGGAAAATACACCTAAGCAGAAGATGGATGCTAATTTGTTGGATGTTGCTTACTGAGCTCCTTCTGAAATAACATCACAGTTGTAACATTTTGGCCCTAAAGATGAGACCTGATTGATTTAATAAAGTAGAAACAGCCTGTCTTAAATAGGGCATGTGCCTTCATGTTCATAATTGCTGAAATACCTATTTTGACAGAGCACACAAAATGACAGCAGATAAATGTTACGTATTTTAACTTCTGAAATGTCTCTCATCAGCTACTTGTTTCATCTGATTAATGTGCCCTGTCAGTACAGAGCTCTAATCAGCCACAGACACTTTCTGGAAAATGATGGGGAGCAGATTTAAATGGAGAGCGAATGCCAGAGGTAGTCAAGGTGAAGATTAATTCACATCTGCCTTCTAGAGTGAGAAGTAAATGTCAAAAACAATAGCACAGCACCTTACAGACGAGGTGCCAGCACTGCATTTTGTTGTTTTTATGCATGGATTTGCAGTTCTTATAAGTGGAGTAAGTTGTGTGCTGGACTCGACAGCAAACAGGAGACAGGTGCTTGTGATTGCTTCGGTTCTACCCTCACAGCACCAGTTACATTCTTCAGAATGCGTGTCCTGGCTATCTCCTCCTCCCTCTGCTGCTTCGTGGGGGACATTTTAAATAGAAATCGAGAAACAAGGCACTGTGAAATGCTCAGCCAGATTTTTCAGTAGGGCTGCTCTTTTGGAGCCAAAGATTCCTGGCAATGAAAAGCTGAACTCATGGAATGAATCAATACTTCATTGATATTTAAAATATTTTAATAATGGTGGGCATTGCAGTAAATCAAAAGCATTCAGGTGTCGTTTTAAAAAATATTAGCAGGGAAATGGAATTTTCTAAAAGAAGTAGCTTCAGCTTTGGAGCTACAAGGAAAGGAAGAGAGCCCTACAAAAGTACAATAATTAGGGGTTTAAACTTTTTTTATCGTGTTTATTGTGGTCTTCTCCACCCTTCTTATTTTTTAAGCAAAAAGAAGAAAAAATACCAAACAGGAGAAAGAGAAATATTTTATGAAAAAAAATTAAAACATCACTGCAAACCTATAGAAATGTGTGTGGCAACTCACAAATATGTTGCATTTAGGGTAAGCCTAGATTTCTCCTCTGATGC